GATAGATATAGATGATAGATATAGATGATAGATATAGATGATAGATATATGATATAGGTGATAGATATAGATTATAGATGATATAGATGATAGATAGATAGATGATAGATAGAAACACACACACATTAGATTGAGAGAGAAAGAGAGAGAAAGAAACAACTAGCTAGCTAGAGACACAGACAGATAGATGAGGGGGTGGAGAGACAGAGAGAAAGAAAGAAATATAGCAATATTAACACACACAAGTGATTTAATCTTGTGGGTTGACTCTTCTTTTCAGTCCTTGTTCATTGGTCTCATCACCTGATCAGTGGGTTACCTCACTAATTCAGCAGCTTATGAAGGCAACCTGCCTCCCCTAACCCCTGAGTCTCCTTTTCTTCCAGAACGCTGATGGGAAATTAACCTTGCAGGAGTTCCAGGAAGGTTCTAAAGCCGACCCCTCCATCGTCCAGGCACTTTCCCTCTACGACGGGCTGGTATAGTCCCACAATCCAGGCTTGGGTGAGCATCCAAGTCTCCAGCATGGGAGACCAAAATATGCTGGATTTTGCAATACGTTGCAGTATAACAAGATAAGAACAAGAGGAGGGGAAAACCCAGCAAATGCTGCATGTATTGAAACGAGAAGGGGAATAAATAATTGGTTGCGCCTGGCAGGGACGGACTCAATGTTCCCTTCCAAATTTGATTCTAACTTAGATTGCTTCATTCATTCATTCATTCATTCATTCATTCATTCATTCATTCATTCATTCATTCATTCTATATTTCCTTCTTTCCCTCCCTCCCATTCTCCTTCCTTCCTTCCATCCTCCTTCCCCTCCCTACCTCCCTCCTTTCCTTTTTTCCTCCCTCCCTTCCCATAGCCTATTATCTGATTCCTTCCTTCCTTCCATACAGCCTTCTTTCCCTCCCTCATTCATTCATTCATTTTATATTTCCTTCCCTCCTTCCCAATCTCCTTCCTTCCTTCCATTCATCCTTCTTCTGCTCCCTCCCTCCCTTCCTTCCCATAGCATATTATCTGATTCCTTCCTTCCTTCCTTCCTTCCTTCCTTCCTTCCTTCCTTCCTTCCTTCCTTCCTTCCTTCCTTCCTTCCTTCCTTTTCCTTCCTTCCTTCCTTCCTTCCTTCCTTCCTTCCTTCCTTCCTTCCTTCCTTCCTTCCTTCCCTCCCTCCCTCTCTCCCTCCCTCCCTCCCTCCCTCCCTTCCTTTTATACAGCCTTCTTTCCCTCCCTCCCTCCCTCATTTGTTCATTCATTCATTCATCCGTTCATTCAATTTTTATGGCTGCCATCTCAAACCAGGTGAGTAAAAGACCAAATCGTAGAAACACATTTCTAAAATGATCCTAAAGCCAGGACATGAATTCTATAAATATATAAAATGGTAACATCCATCAAATCAAAGAAGCTTCAGGCTTTTCATCTGCTTTTCCTTCCTTTCCTCTTCTCTTTTCCAGGCGCGCCGAGAAGCCCTCCTTCCAGTGACATCCAGCTGCCTACTCCAAAAAGACCCTCATCCGACAGTTACTCTTCCGTTACTCGCGAGCAAAGGGGCGCCTTCCAAGTCCGACCTCAGCCTCAAAACCCTTTTCTGCTTGGAATCGTCCCCATCAGCCGAGCAACTGCTTTGATTATCATTTCTTTTCTTTTTTAAAGAAAAAGAGAAAGACAGAGGAAAGAAGGGCAGGGGTGGGAATCCTTGATGGGATGGAGATGGTCCTCGCACACGTTTCCCCTTTCCCTCCTTTGCTTTTTGTCTGGAATGAACTTGAGATTTCCTATTTCTTCCCCGGGGGTGGGGGTGGGGTGTTGGTGGGATGGAAGAGACTCGAGAGGCGACTGATTAAATCAGATTGGAAAAGCAGCAAGGGGGGGGGGGGGGGAAAGGAACGGGGGGGGGGTCAAGGGCTTCAGCAAAAAAAAAAAACAACGCATCAAAATCGGTTTGAAAACTTCATTTTCTCCATAACATCTGGATTTGCTGCAATTTTCATCGCTCGGGGTAGCGGGAGTGGGGCAGGTTTGCATCTACAAAGCCCCTTGTTACGTTCCGAGCGATGCTCCTTTGGATATGATTTGCTTTTGTGTGTGTGTGTGTGTGTGTGTGTTTCTCTTTGCCTATTTATTGGACCGCTTTCCTAAATGAGGTTGTCGGGCCTAAGGATCAAACACCGAAAATGGAGTGGAGAAATTGAAGCCCCCTGAACCTGGAATCACACACGCGCGCACACACACGGCAGCCTGGCTGAAGTCGAAGGGGGTGAATTCTGCCCCCTCCCCTGTTTTTTTAAAGTGTCTCTTTGTCTTTTTTGTTGCTGTTGTTGTCGTCGTCTTTGTTTTGTCCATCACACCTGTTCTGTGATGCTTCACTTTGGGAGTGGGAGGTGGGTGGGTGAGAGGGTTGGGAGGTCCTTGCATCCTCGTCTTGCTTTTCAAGAGCTTCAGCGCTCCAATCTCACAAACTTCCATGCCTGCAACATTAAAAGAAAAAAAAAGGAGAAAAATAATAATAAAAAGGAACATTTATTTCTTATTTCTTTTCCTTTTTTTGAACACGCGGGAAACTCTTGCAAAAGAGAACTCGGACCTTTTCAATAGACAAGGCTTTTCGGAGGCGTTTCTAATTTTTTTTTTAGAAATAAAATTTTTCCCTATGGAAAAAAAATACAACACAGTGATTATTAAACCGAGTTCTCGATTTACGATTTGGACTGGAACATCCCATTGTTAAACAAGGTGGGCATTAAGGTGTCTTCTCTCTCTTTTTGGTATAAAAACAAAAGTGAAAGTTAAAAAAAAAAAACCTAACAAAAAGCTTCTAATTCATTTCTCCAAAACTGCTAACAATAATGGAATGCCCCTGTTGGAAATAGATAGCAAAAGGAGCTTCACATCAAGCACATGCTGCCCCCTTGTGGCTCAGCTGGGTCCTGCATCCCCATAGCCAATCATTCATCCTACACTCCGCTTCCAAACCCAAACTCTGGTTTTGGCTAAAATCCTTTCTCGAAGCATCAAGTATTCCAACTGGGACCCTAGTTATGACCTGATAGGGCCAAATTCCAGCCAAAAAAACATGGACTGAGGCCTGACAGGTCTGGAAAAAAAAGAGAGAACGTCCAGCGTGCTCAGACCTTTTCACCTCATGCAGGTGACCTGTCTGTTGCAATGAGACCTTTATCTCTTCCTGACAGGCCACAAGTTGTAGATCTGTCAAGAGGCCTGCCAAATTCTTCTCCTCACCTGGCTGCTGTGCCCGATGGTGCAAGAGTTAAAACAATAACTAGGGCAGGAGGGTTTCCCCCACCCTCCTTGGCGGTGGTTCAACTGGCTTAATTTGGCCCCAAAGCTATTGGCAAGGTTTGAATAACTCAAAACCAGCCAGGATGGTGACTAGAAGACTAGAAGAAGAGGTGCTTGCTGGAGTTGGACTCTGCCCATTCTGGCTCCTCCTTTGGAGAGGGTTATATATTCTGGGAAGGCTCGAAGCACTGAGATTTGGTGGGGAGATCCCTGGCTTTAACCTGCAGCCGATTTTTTGGTTTTTTTGCAGGCGACAACGGTAAGTGACATTGCAAGAAAGGGGTGGGTGTGGGAGAATCTTAACAAAGTTTTGAAGTTTTGCAAAATAAAAAAAACTTCTAAAGAAGATCGGAAGAATTTTAAAGAGGATTTGGGAGAAAGAAGGAATGTCTGATTTAGGGAGCTTGATGATTAGAAGAGTAAGAGAAGAAGAAAGCCACACTATAAATAAAATATAAATGCATGCACGAAGGATGAAAAGAAACTTTATATATCTTTTTTGGAGATAAGATAGGTTAGAAAAAGAAGAGCATTCTGACGTAATTTTAGAAAGAGATTAAAATGTAATTATGAAGAAAAACAGCATCTACAACCTCGTATATTTGTTCCTTTTTTCCATTTTTCTTCCTCTTTTTTTTCTTTTCTTGCTCCTTTTTCCTTTCTTTTCCTTTGCTCTTCCTCACTTCGTAATAGTTTTTCCACTTTGAGTTTCAATTTGTATCCTTTTTTTCCCCTCTTCCTCTTTTTTTATTTCCTATGGCCTTACTTATCCCTTTCCCTCCCTTTACTTTTCTCCTTTTCTGCGCCTGTTGAATAAAACTCTTTTGGTGATTTGAAAGAGATTGAAACTGGTAGAACAAAAGGAAAGCCAAAAATTCTCTGTGCAGAGAGTTTTAAACAGGGGACCACAGCCAGCCCTTTGCCCAGAATAAATAAATAAATTGCTCTTTTGTACAAGGGGAACTGAAAGTACAAACTGGGATTGTTTAAAGGAGCCAGTGGACAAATCTTTATTTTGGATGGTGCCAGCCCTGCTCTGTGCAAGCTGGACATTTGAAAAAGCCTCTATGGGAAAAATATCACAACCTTTCCCCCCCTGAATTAGGTCAGGCTGTATAACAGGATCGATCTCTTCAGTCGATTCTATCGATCAGTTTAAACACCTGAAGGCAGGACAAGAAGCCATAGATGGGGAATTAATCAAAGAGAAAAGCAACTTAGAACTAAAGAGAAATTTCCTGACTTTTAGAACGATCAATCATTGGGATGGCTTGGCTCCAGAAATTGTGGGAGCTCCATCACTGGAGCTTTTCAAAAATATCCTGGATAACCATTTGACCAGGAGGGTATAGCGTCTCCTGCTTGCGTAAGGGGTTGGACTAGAAGACCTCCAAGGTCCCTTCCAACTCTTTTATTATTCTGTTAAAATGGGGGGGAAACTTGCTTAACAACTCTTTCACTTAGCAATAGACATTTTGGGATCAATTGTCATAAGGAGAGGACAACCTGTATGTGCAGATTAACTGTACCTGGGTGGCGGTGTGGAAATTATACACAGGGTGCACAGGTTGATGAATTACAACTCCCATCAGCCCCAGCGAGGATAAGGGGTTCTGGAAGTTGTGTTAGAAGGAAGGAGCCCATTCCTGAAGCTGGGAAGGAAGCTCATGTTGAATCTTGTGGTGGGGAGTTCCGCGGGCTCAAGGCCTACGTTGGTGCCAATATTTAGTTCTCCAGTCTTTCCGATAGGGCTGTTACAGCTGCCTCACAAGCATTCAAAACTGCCTGGATAAATTATTCTCTGAATAATGGTTGTCCTTGATTCATATCCACTATTGGAAGCAGAATTCCCATCGCTAAGCAAAGTGCTTGTTAAGTGAGTCGTGCTTCCTTCTGTGAAGGTTTTTTTTTTTTTTTGACCCAGTTAAGCAAATCATTCTGGTTGTTAAGCGAATTACAAAACCATTAAGCAAATCCAGCTCTAACAGCTCTTTTTTTTTTTTAGCCTGGAAAAATAGCAGTTGGGTCTGAAGTTAATCTCATGGGGGCTTTTCTTGAATTGTTCTTCGAGTGGTATATAAGCTCAATTAATAATAATAATAATAATCAATAATAATAATCAATAATAATAATAATAATAATAATACGTTGGAGTTCTCATATCGAATGGCCTAAGCGCCAGAGCTGATCTTACGAAGCTTCTCCTCTGGTAATACTGATTTGCAAACTAGGGCGTACACAACCTTTGCCAGAACAACACTTGAATACAGCTCCACTGTCTGGAATCCGCACTGCATATCAGACATCAATGCAATTGAGCGAGTCCAGAAGTGTTTTACCAGAAGAGTACTACACTCCTCTGTTCGCAACAGAATACCCTACACCACCAGGCTTGAGATTCTAGGCTTAGACAACCTTGAACTACACTGCCTACAGTTGGACTTAAGCATAGTACATAAAATCATATGTTTCAATGTCTTACCAGTTAATTAATATTTCAGCTTTAACCACAACAACACGAGAGCACACAACAGATACAAACTAAATGTAAACCGCTCCAAACTTGATTGCAGGAAGTACGATTTCAGCAATAGAGTGGTCAATGCCTGGAATGCACTACCTGACTCTGTTGTTACATCCTCTAACCCCCCACTCCTTTACCCTCAAACTAACCTCTATTGACCTCACCCCATTCTTAAGAGGTCTGTAAGGGGCGTGCATAAGCGCACCATTGTGTCTTACCGTCCCTGTCTTATTGTCCCCAATTAGTTTCTATTTCATGTGTTTAAACTTATGTTTATGCTTATTTCTATTATATTGTAAGCATTTGACAAAATAAATCAATAAATTATTATGATTATTATAGACTCAATGTCTCAGTCCAAAGGCCTTGTGATTCTGGCGTACAGTGGTGGCTTGGATACGTCCTGCATCCTGGTTTGGCTAAAAGAACAAGGTTATGATGTCATCGCTTACCTGGTAAGACAATTTTTCAAGGACTCCAAATCAGTGTTATTCAAACTTGGCAACTTTAAGACGGGTGGACTTCAACTCCCAGCATTCCCAACACGCTGGATGGGGCATTCTGGGAGTTGAAGTCCACCCATCTTAAATTTGCCAAGTTTAAGAGATACGGCAATGGCTTGATTGTGAATGTTGCAAGGGACCACAGGTAGAAATTCAACCGGCGTAAGTCTTTCCTCACGAGCGATAGACCCATCAGCCACAAACTGGAAGCAGAAATCTCCATTTCAGCCTCTCGGGGGTTCAAACGTGATCGGTTGGCACCTAATTAGCCAGCAGCATGGCTGGGAATGATGGGATTTGACATCCAATCTGGCTACAAGGTTTTTGGGGAAGCAAAAATAGTCTTTAATGAAATATAAATTTTATTTTCAAGACTTGGGATCCTTTTAATTGAACATACATACAGAAATCCAGGATCTGAGAATAAATATCCACGATTAAAAAAAGTTGCAAGCCAGAAAGTTTCAAAGGAATTTCAAGAATGAAGAATCATCCCAAAAAAGAAAAAAAAAAAGGTCACTTTATTTATCGAGACAAGGTTCAGGCTGTCTTATGATGAGTCCTGCTTTACTCAGCAGATAACTTTACACCTTTGGACTTATTTTTTTTCCCCCTTATTTGTTATTTGGACTTATTTTTATTGCCACAGAAGGACAAATACTGCTACTTCCTCCCTTGCAGGAATATTGTCCAAATGGCTGAGCTGGAGGCCCTAAACACCTACTTAGCCAGGGAAAGGTTTCAGAGGAGGCATCTGGGTTGGCATCTTAAAAAATAGTGGGGCTAGAGGGCCTCTGGGTGCCCTCCAGGGAAGTCAGTATTTTCCCCTTAGAAAGTGCAGAGGAAGCTGGAGGGGGGAGGCTTATAGGAAGAGCTGGGCATCTCCCTCCCATTTACCCTTCCTTCCTTCCTTCCTTCCTTCCTTCCTTCCTTCCTTCCTTCCTTCCTTCCTTCCTTCCTTCCTTCCTCCCTCATTCTCATCTTCTTCCATCCTTCCCTCCCTCTCTCTTTTTGCTTCCTTCCTTCTTTCTCTCACTCTTCCTCCCTCTCTCCTTCCCTTCCCTTCCTCCTCTTCGCTCCTCTCCTTCCCTTAGTCTCTTCCTTTACTTTTTACCCCACAGAGATGGCTCTGCCCTTCCAAAATTTAGCAATCATCTTTTCCACGATGTGCTCAGATACCCCCAAATTAGGGATAATGAGACCCCTTTATACAATTAAGGGTTTGGTGCCTTTGTTCCTTTGAAAAACACACAAAAAAGCAGATTTCCTTCCAGAAATTATTTTCTATTATTTTCCCCCTTAAATATTTTCCAGGCCAACATTGGACAAGATGAAAACTTTGAAAAGGCGAGAATGAAAGCTCTCTCTCTGGGTGCCAAGAAAGTGAGTTTTGCTTGCTACGCTTAGCCCCGGTTGGCTTAATCATGGTTTGCTGAAAGAATCATGGTTCATTAAAACATACATGAACATCAGTCCTTCTTCCAGGAGTTGTGGAGAGGTTTTTAAGAAGAGATTGGAGAGCCATTTTTGACTGGAACGGGACAGGGGCTCCTGCTTGAGCAAGGGGTTGGACTAGATGACCTCCAAGGTCCCTTTCCAACCCTGTTGTTGTGCGTTCCACCTTCTGGATTTCAGGTTTACATTGAAGACCTCCGCAGAGAATTTGTTGAAGAGTTTATTTGGCCATCTGTCCAAGCTGGGGCTCTCTACGAGGACCGGTATCTCCTTGGCACATCCTTGGCTCGTCCGTGTATCGCCCAGAAGCAGATGGAAATTGCCTTGAGAGAGGAGGCCCAATTCGTTTCTCATGGAGCTACAGGCAAGGTGGGATGAGCCGAGATGCTGGTTTAATGAGGGTTCCTTGGTGCTCCCTGAGCTGGGTTGTTTTCTTGCAGACGTTTCATGGCCCAAACTAGGGAACATCATCAGTGCTAGAAGGGAGTGGGATGGGAAGAGGAAGAGGAAGAGGAAGAGGAGGAGGAGGAGGAGGAGGACTGTGGGATCCATGATGCTCCCTGAGCTTGATTGTTTTTTTGCAGACGTTTCATGGCCCAAACTAGGTAACATCATCAGTGCTAGAAAGAAGTGGGATGTAAGGAGGAGGAGGAGGAGGAGAAATAGAAGAAGGAGAATGAATGCGAGGTTGAGCGCTGATGATGTTACCTAGTTGGGTAATGAAACATCTGCAAGAAAACCACCAAGCTCAGAGGGCACCAAGGACTCCTCATTTCAACCCTGAGCTACAAAAGATTCTCCTTTATTGGTGATGTTTTCAATTGTTCCTCTGTTAATCTTCTCCGTGGATTTTACTTCGATGACATTCATGACAAAACCACACTGGAATCTGGACCGAGGGAAGAAGGTCTATCTTATGTTTATCGGAAGATAGAACCAAAATTTGCATGCAACACAAATTTGAGTTTCCAACTTGAGCAAACTTAGCCAAGGTCTTGGGATAAGGCCTTGTTGGATTTTGTCCTTCTGAGTAATTCTAAATAATTCTGGACAGCGCTTGTTAAAAATTAGCTAAAGTGAGTTTAGTAGATAGGATTTTCCTAAAGTAGCTGACAAGCTTATTTGCAGAGGGTTGAATTACTTTGAGTATCACAAATTCCTGATTGGCAACAAATATTTAAGTTCTCTTGATGCCTTACTCAACGGAGCAACAGGCTGAAGTCATAATTCTATTTTTTATTTTTTTATTTTTTTAAATCATATTTTTATTAATTTTACATTATTACAATATAAAATATCATGTTTTCAACAGCGCTTTTGACATTATACATGTTTTTAACTTACATATCTTAACACATTGTATTTACTTTTATCTAATATTGATTAATGACTTTTCTATAATTATTATTCTTGTATATTTACAAGTTTAGTTTTTTAAGGCTTCTTACTATAACTATATTTTATTTCTTCTTCTATTTTCCTTTTTAGTATTATTTTTCCTTTGATTTTTTTTTTAAAAATCTGATTCTAAAATTTTAATTAAAAACAAACCTGGCCATTGCAATAGTTACTCCTGTTGCTGTTGGAAAAACAGTAAATTTACACAGGCTTGTAGAAATGTATGGCACACATTGCACCACAAGAGGGCAGCAAAGACTTACTTTTATCAAGATTCCTGCCCTCTGCAGCATCTTTCGGATTTTTTAAAATTTTGCTTCTTTATAGCCCAGAAGGGGGGCAGAGAAAGATTGCAGAATCAGGCTTTCTAAAAAGAAAAGAGGTGATGGGAGGGCTGATTTTGCTCCTATACAGTTGCATGCACACATGCACACACACATGCACACACATATATTAAGTGATTTTGGTCATCAGCATGTGCTTAATTAATGTTAAATGTTTAAGGTACAGTCTAGTCTTCAGCCAAAAATTGACCCTAGCTGACATCAGCTGTAGTTCAATACTTCTCAATATTTCCTAGAAGCGAAAGGCATATTTCAAAACGTTTAAGCCAAGGCCACACTGAGTTGAATTCAACTCCACTCAGCCTTAAACATACTTAAAATACGCCTTTTGCCTTCGAAGAAATGTTCTCTTGGCTCTCTTTCCCAGAGCTCACCTTCTGAAAGCTGCAAGCCCTTGGAAACATTTATTTCCATTCAAGTAAGCTTGACTTGCAGGCAAATGGGCTGAGAGGCAATCACCCCTTCAACGTAATCTGAGCCCCCAAAGCTTCTTGGTCCCTGATCCGCACTGCCCATTTCTTAAATGCACCATCTGTGTGAGGCTCCCTGACTGAGAAGCAGATGGGAGAAGGAAACTGGGTTAGATGTTGGCTCCGGAGTCTTCCTCCATCGCCGCCTCTTGGGGGCTCCTGCAAGCCACGATCATCTCGGTTGCTCTCAGCGCTCACTTGAATCTGAAGAAAGAGTGCTGGTTACCACTGTTCAAAAAAAGATGTTGAGAATGCAGAGAAGAGCAACAAAGGGATTGGATGCTAAAACATACAAAGAACGGTTGCAGGAACTGGGTATGTCTAGTTTGATGAAAAGAAGGACTAAGGGGGACATGATAGCCGTGTTCCAGTATTTGAGGGGCTGCCCCCAAAGAAGAGGGGGAGTCAATCTATTCTCCAAAGCACCTGAAGGCAGGATAAGAAGCAACAGATGGAAACTTATAAAGGAGAGAAGCAACCTAGAACTAACTTTCAGCCTGTCTGGACTTTCCTCCCCCACCCCAATCTGAAAAAACAAACAAACAAATCTGGAGCTGTGTGTAAATTTCAAAAAAATCCCCCAAGGCCACCTCAAAGTTCCCTTGTCAGATAGGATTCGAACCCAACTCCTCCTAAAATGTGGCGCCCCCCCCCCAATGTGGTTAAAACGCAGAGCACACAGGTGGGCCCAAATCCTGATCATCTCACCCGGCGACAGCCATAAGTATGAGCAATCGGGTTGTCAGTTCCTTTCACACACACCATGTTGTAAATCGAGGACTTCCTGTATTGGTTAGATGGGAGGCAACCAGGTGATTCCGGCAGGGAAAACAAAAACAAAACAAAAAACGACCTAGAGATTTTTTCCCAAACGGAAGGAATCATGAACCATTTTCATTGGGCAAAACTGATTTGCAAGTTTTGCAGAATCCTTTTATCATCGTCTTCTTCTTCTTCTCCCCTTTAGGGCAACGATCAGATTCGGTTTGAGCTGACCTACTTCGCTCTCTCTCCTCGGATCAAGGTAAAGCTCTTTTTTTTTTTGTGTTGCACGACACACAACCCAAGTCCCCTTCGGTCCCACCAAGCCTCCCCCTTCCGAGTGGCAGCTTTGAGGCGGCTGCAACCAGCCCCTGGACTTCAAGTTACACGCAGACCCCTCTCCAATTTAAAAGCTTATTTTCTCTTCCTGGAATCGGTGCTTGGATTAAAGCAGGCAACATATCAAAGCAGGAGCCACCACAGGCCATTTAAATCTCCACTTTAATCTCTCTAAACAAAGGTGATTCCAAGGTGGGATTCCTTTTTTTTTTTTCATCCTGCCCAGAGCAAAATTCAGCTTTAATTGACCTAAAAAGGGTCAATTAAAATAGCACAGTGACTTAGCAAAAGTTAGGGT